TAACATCTGATCTCATCTCATTTTTACTATGTTAGATGTCCAATAACTACCAAACTTCTTGGTGAACACTGAAACAAAGTATTAATTAAGCACCCCAACCATTTCCACATTTTCTCTTACTTTCTTTATCCCTCCAATGAGTAATGGGTCTAATCTGTCCTTGGTCTTCCTCTTGCTTCTAATGAATTTGTGGAATATTTCCACATCTGATCTCATCTCATTTTTACTATGTTAGATGTCCAATAACTACCAAACTTCTTGGTGAACACTGAAACAAAGTATTAATTAAGCACCCCAACCATTTCCACATTTTCTCTTACTTTCTTTATCCCTCCAATGAGTAATGGGTCTAATCTGTCCTTGGTCTTCCTCTTGCTTCTAATGAATTTGTGGAATATTTCCTTGCTACCCTTTATGTCACACTTCCTTAGTAAGCAATGGCCTGTTACAACAGAGCCAGAAGAACGATTCACCATATTATCCGGGTGTCCCATGGTCTTGGGTGTCCAATAAGCCTTCTGAGCTAAAACTTTTTACGCAAATCTCCCTTTTTTTTATCTACACCTAACTGCCTGCTGGACTTGTATTTGTTACTCAGTGTTTCACTTGTCTCAGATACTGTTTCTTGCCATGGTTGTAAGCCTTCCTGTTATAATGGTTTCATTTAGCTTAACCTACTTTGTGGTTTTCAATTATACGGAAAAAAACCCTTGAGGCTTATAACACAACTTTACTTTGCCTTGTAACAGCAAAGCTAACTATAATTAATTCTACCAAACTGCTGCTTACATTACCATTTTATATGAAGTACCATGTTGCATTATCTACCCTTCAGAACTGAGGGAGCAGGACTTACGATACGGGATGCCACAGCCAGAGAGCTTAGAGGACTGAAAGAATTTAAATACCTAGGATGAATGGTGGCTGCTAAAGCTGCATAATATAAATGGTGAGCTCTGACACCAGGTCTGGGGCAAAAAAAAAGCTACTAAATTCAGGTCAAATGAAGGTTATATAAAGTCTGTCTTAATATACAGAACAGAGACTTGGCCAGCCACAAGAAAGAAAATCAGTATGCTTTTCACCATATACATGTAGATGATGAGAGGGAAGTTGGACGAGATAACATCTTTTATTGGCCCAATTTCTGTTGGTGAGAGAGGCAAGCTTTTGAGCTTACACAGAGCTCTTCTTCAGGTCTGGGAGAGGTACACGGTCTATGTCTACACTACAGCCTATGACAGTATAGTTTATGTCACTCCGGAGCATTAATATACCACTGAGCACTAGAAATGACATCAACTTAAGCGCTCATGTGCACTACACTGTCAGTGGGAGAATTTCTCCTGCAGGCATAGCCTCTGCCATTCATGAAGGCTGTTTTATTATGCCAATGGGAGAAAACTCTCCCATCAGCATAGCTGTATCAGTACAGCTGTGCAACTGCAGTGCGTCTGGTAAAGACTTGCCCTCAGGAGAGTCACAGCTCAATGCAAGGTGGAACAGATTGTTTAGCGAAACTAGGTAACACATATTTCAAGGGAATATTCAAGGGGAGGGGACCCATTAACACCCCTCCAGTTATAAGGAGGAAAGGAAGTGAGGAAGGAGGGGTACAAAGGAGGACCTGGGGTGGGGGTTTTAAGTGGGTTATAGATTGTTGTGGCTCAGCAGGAGTGTGGATATTGCTGGACAAGAGAGCCCTTGGACCAGAGAGCCCTGGCTCGGGGCAGGGAGTTTCAGTAGCTCCTGGGCAGCCCTGGGGCTATGGCGCCCCGGAAGCCCCAGGGAAGCTGAGCTCCAGTGGTCCCATGGCTTGTCACAGAGCCCCCTTGCCTTGAAGCATCTGGCCCCAGAGTCCTAGTGGCCCTGGAACAGCAAATCCCTAGCGGTCCCCAGGCAGTGGAGCCCCAGCGTCCTAGAGCTGGCCACGAAGCTGGCAGCCCGGTGTCCCGGAGGCAGGGGAGCCCGGTGACATATCCCAGGAGTCTGTCAGCAGAGGGGTGGTCCTCCCCTGGTCTGGCAAACTCCCTCCTTCAGAGCAAGTCAGGTCCCATGGTGCCAGACCAGACAGATCTCACCTGTAGTTAAAGCTTATTTCACTCATCTCACTGCCACTCAATGGCTTCTTCAAACATAGATCCCAGCTCATTCTGATGATAGTGACCGCTATGCAACCTTCAGGACCAGAATGTCAAAGCCTGGGACTTGCTGCATGTGCTGTGGCTCTCTGGGGGAAGGACTGGGTAGGGAACACTCTGGCTTAGAGCAGGAAGATTCAGTGGAGAAAGTGAGAGTGGGGCCCTATGGTACCTCAAGCGGGCAGCATCAGAGGCAGGCCCCAACTATGTGCTCAGTTATTGTGTTACTGGTTTTAAATATGTAAGTGCAGTAGAGGAGGGGGCATAGGTACTTGAACTAAGGAGTGTGGGTGCTACCACACTCGCTGGGCTTGAAATGATTTCCATTTTATACAGCAGTTTTAGTTTGGTTCAATGCCTTTCAGCGTGTCCCCCATACACATTGCTCCAGCACCCTTGGGAGGGAGAAGAGAAGACAGAAGGTGCTGTGATTAACCACCAAAGACTAAGAACCATGGACATCCTAACCCCAAGGTCACGAGAAGCTGATAAAGAGCATAGCAGACGTGTAGGAGGAGAGTAGGAAGAAAGCCTATGCAGCAACAAATGCATGTATATACACTGCCCACATATACATACAAATATAGAACTGATGGAAACCATTTTTGTTTACTTAATGTATTCTGATATCACTTTCATTTACATCAGCAACCTGCGAAATACAGCCGCCAGTGATGAATATCAACAATGAAACTTAGGAACATTAAACAAAAACAGTCATCAGACAGATGATTTATTTTCATTTTTTGGAGGCAGATAAAATATTTCCCTTATTGCAGAGTTGCTGTTCTCTTGAAGGACCAAACAACTTGAGAGCGCATTGCATCCCCAGTTTCCATGGCCAGAATCCCAGACGTATCAGCAGTAGATGTCATCCTGCCCTAGAAGTGACACTAAATAAATGTCTGAAAAGTTTGACCTTTTCAGCTGTATATTTTAAAATGACTAGTTAGCATATTTAAATGAGGAAGGTAGGAGCATAATTAGAGGAGGATGGCAAAAAAACATAAAAAAAACAGGTCTAGATGTGCTGCGGAGAAGAAAAAAGGGGGTTAGATCCGTCTACTGAATTTAAGCTTTGATCCAAATGCCATTTTTCCACTCTTTGGACATAGCTTCTTTCCTTGTTAATTCGGAAAGGCTGTTGCAAAAGCACACAAGAGAAAAGGGCAACTTTTTTGTCTGTAGTAGCTTCAAAGGAAGGCGTAAAATCCTCAGAATGTACAATTCTGCAAAAATGTGCTACAGAAGGAAAAATCTTCCTAATCTTTGGCCAGTTAAAGGCTGTTTTGTGGGTTTTTTTTATACCATCCTCAATATGAGCTAATTGTGAGAACAGATTTATTGGGTAAATTGAGCTATTTTAACTGAGGCTACGTCTAGACTATGGGGTTTTTGTGGGATACCTCCCCGCAAAAACCCCGCTGCGTCCAAGGAACACTTTTTTATGTGGAAGAGCAAACACGCTCTTTTGGGGAGCCCTGTACACCTCATTTCATGAGGCATAAGGGCTCTGCTGAAAGAGGAGGCTTTTCCGCCATTTGGCCTTGTCTAGACAGGGCCAAATGGCAGAAAAACCTCTTCCAAAAAAAAAAAAGCAGAAAAAGCTATGCAAAATGTGGAGAAACTCTTTTGAGTGGATGACAAGGGTTGAATCCTTGAAGAGCAATGAGATGAGCAAAAAAGAATGGTAGGTGAAATTTGGTGTTGCTGCTAAGACAAAATAGTTAGGCAACGTTAAAAATTAGAGGAATCAAGGCATATCAATGCTCAAGATAGAAAATGAGTTCTAACCACTCCTGTCTCCTAGTGGGCTACAAAAGCATGAAAATTTTACAAATCCAAATACCATTATCCTCATAGGAAAAATTCAGTAGTTCTTGTAGCTCAGTAAAGTCTTCAGTAGTTTTCTTGTTTAGAAAAGTGGCCAAAATCCACACATCAAGGCTTCCTATACCAGTAGTTCATTTTTAATGGGCTATTCCTGCTATGAAACATAACATATCCAAGCAGCACAATGCTGTGAAAGCTAAGAAAATTTCATTGTATAGAGTCAGATTATTGTCATCCTCTGGGTGAAATTTCTGGATGTAATATATTCTGAATACATGATGAGGTACAAAACAGACTAGTATTACCAAGATGAAAAAAAAACTCTTCATCTGAGCCCTGAATTCTACATGTAAATTCATGTCAGGCCAGTACTTCATTGCCAACTGAAAGATTACAGCTAATTGGATTATAGAGAGTACAGAGACTGTTGTCACCATAATACTAATCAAGCAGTAGTTTGCTATTACCATACCCTGCTCTTTCATACCTCTGTGGAACTGAAAACATTTAGAATGGTTATAGTTTTTAGAGGTGCCATAATGTGACAAAAAGATAGGGAAGATAATAACAGTTCCCACAAACCAGACAGCAGCAATCCAAGTAGTAGTGCGCCACCTCTGAAATTCCAGTCTCAAGAGGCGTATTATAATAATAGCTACATAGAAAATGAAGGTGATGTACATGTGGACATAGATCATGCCACTAAACATTTTGCAGGTGAACCATCCAAATTTCCATTCAGATGAAATGTAATAGCTAATGCGGAAAGGTAGGCTGAATAACAGAATGGAATGTACCACCATGAGATTTTTGATAATGATGGTCATCACAGATTGTATTTTCCTCTGAAACAAAAGACGGGACATCACAATTATTCCAGCAATGCCGCCTCCCAGACTGATACTGTATAGTGCTATCAAAATCAAATGCAGCCTCTC